AGCCCTGGACAAGATTGCTTGTTCTCAACAACGTTGTCAGTGACTCATCTGCCATGTTTACCCTACTTTCAGAACCTGAAATAAGAAACGGATCCAGAACCAGCACCCCCGAACAACTGCTTTGTCCCCCAAGTACTGTCCAAAAAGCAGTGCTTGAATTACTGGGCTGTCCAAACTGATCCCCTGCTAAAAGATTAACTCGTGGGGGTTACATTCCAACACCCAACCACGAAACCAACTAAAAGCAACTAAACACCTAAGGGGATGGCTGGGAGCCACCAAGGCTTGGGGCTTGTTCACCTCTGCTTCTTGTAGCGGGGAAATAGGAATCCATGCCTAACCACTAAACCAACTAAAAACAACTCAAAACCTAGGGAACCTAAGAAACCGGACGATTCGCTGGTTGAACTTTCCCAGTTTTGTCAGGCACAGAAGCGGAAGCCGAAGCTTCAACCAGCGCCTCATCAGGCCGGTGGCGGTCTGCGTTGGCGAGCCGAAGCGAGGCCTGCGCCCAGATCAAGCAGAATTGATACGGCTGCGCCTTCTTTGAGAACCCCCCCCCCCGCCCGAAGAAAACAACGAAAGTTAGTTTCCTCTGGCTTCCTTCAAACCCTCCCTCCAACCACCAACCCCCCCTTTCCTGTTTTTAAGACATATCCATATGGCTGTAAATTTCAATGGGGCGGACATGATTTAGGTGGGGATTCATGCCCAGCAACTGGGAGCTGGTTCCCCACTGAAATCACAGCCACGTATGCTCCTCTCTCTGGGTATGCTTCCGAGCTTGTTCTGGTCCAAACCCCGGCATTGCTGAACAAAAGGCAACAAAGGAACCTCTCGTCACATTACACGTACTAATCAAGGCGAATCTTTCTCCATGGACATGGATGTTGCTTTTTGGAATCTTGCTTCATTAAGACGGGACAAACAATGAGTTCAATAGATGAATGCGCTCTGGCTAACTGAATCAAAATACCTGAACATCGTAGTTCAGCCTCTTCTTTGCCGAAAAACAAACAATAGACACGTATTTCCTTTTAAGGTCTCATAGTCCAACCCGCCCTTTGCTGAAATAAAACACCTTTCATTGTCAACATCTGAACCTAGTATGGCCAATGCACGACTGGAAACAACGCAATTCGTATGTGTTTTTGCCCAAATTGTAGCTAAACCAATAGGGGTCTCCTAAAACACCTAGAAAATTCCCGGAGTTTCAACATCTGAACCCAGTTGCCAAGTGGCCAAGTTGGTGGTTGGCTCAAGCTTGGTTTATCCATCTGCAACCAGTGACCCCCACCCAGACAGACCAACCCTTCCCTTGTCCGGGGCTGACATTCTCAGCGTTTTTCACGCGCCAAACAAAAACAACACCAATTGTGAAAGCCAACCGGGCGACACCTGTGCCATGCTCAAACTGTCACACCCCGCGGATCGTGTTCATTGCTCTCTTGTGTTGTGTAGATCCGGATCCTATTCAGGGCTCGGTGATTGTCCTTGCCAGCCCTTGAAATTCTTTTGACCAGTGGGCGTAGATGCCTGAAGGGCTTCACAATAACTGGCCCCATGAGTCTACCACTGTGAAAGTCACCCAAAGTGGGAAGCAAAAGGGAAGCCACCCAAAAAAGTCATCAACATTCAAAACTCCAAAAAAAATCAGTTTCTGACTTTGACCCCAGTTTCGGACTTTGAGCCCCCCAAAATCACGAAAACAACGAGCCCAGACAAAGTGCAAACCGAAACCACAAAGTGTGGAAACCTCAAGGCTTGGGTGAGACACCGTGGCTATCCACCTAACCTCCACCCAACCGCTACCCAAAAAAGAACCAAGCACCCACCACCCAAAGGGAAAACCAGAACCAAGCGGCTAGATCCTTTCTGTGTAGCCCTTTTTTGCCCCGGCCGGAGCCTTACCATGAAACCAGGTACCCCCTTCATTGGGCCCGCTGGACAGCTCAGCATCTGGTTACCTCAGACCTCAAAGCTCACCCGCCTTTCAAGGGGCCCTGAAAGCGAATCAAGGACCAGGTCCTCCAGTAGCGAGGTTGGAATGAGGGTACCAACTTTTTGCTGTAGTCTAGTTTAGTAGGGGAACCCTCCCGACCAAAAAAGGGGAGAGAAGGGCACTACTGGGGGACCTAGATAATGTTGACCCCGGATTAAGAGGAAGCTGCTTGATTTTGATTGGGTGTCCAATTCCTGTTGGGGATGCAAACCACTTTTGGAGGGGTTTTCACCCCCCTAATAGTGGGACGGGATTAATCCTGGGTCAACATTACTGTGGATGACGAGATCCATTTCGCACCACTTAAGAAGCCATGGTTGACACAATCACGTTTCTTCATATTTCAAGGGGGAATCGGGCCCGAAGCGGGGAATCACATCATTCCGCAGCCATCCAGGGAGCTCGCTCTCACACATCCGGTCCCCGCTTCACCTGGCGCAGTGAGCCCACGCAGGTGACCACAGCGCAGGCGCTGAAGGCAGCGCTGAGCTCCAGCAAGGACGCCTCAAACGCGGGAATTCGCTCGAGCCATTTTCTCGACTTGGTCTCTTCCATTTGCGAATAAGCCACCAGGTGGGACCTGGAAAAAAGAACCAAAACAAGAATAAGCCCAGTTGTGATAAATTCCCTTTAAAACCAACATTGAAAATGAATCATGTTAACCAAACGCGAGGCCTGGGCCTTGACTAAATGATTGAATTTAGTTATAACCCACCTGCCAAACTTGTAGTGGGCTACCAGCATTGCCACCCAGCGTCCCAAACCACGTAGATTTGGTCGACCCGGGGAACCCATTTCAAGCACCTCACGGAAACCCGAGGCCCGAGGACGGGGCTAGGGACGGGTCCATCAACTCACCAGAGTCACCAGTTTCAAGATCAACTTCCCGTGTCTGGGCTGCAAACCCCTTTGATCCCTTGCAAGTCAACCACTTTTGGTGGTGTGGAAACTACCACTGCATAAACCCAACAACTAACAAAGGAACCGGCCGGCTGGGAATGTATTGAAGGCTTGAACCATCCTAGAGATTGGCAATCCATTTTCGCGAACAAGCCACAGGGCCGCGAACCCCACAAATCATATCCGTGTTTCCTTTGATTTCGCCCAAAGAAAAAACCCACGCAACCAACATTCACGCGGGGGCGTCTTCACAACTCACCGTTTTTAAGTCGTGGGCACGAAGAGCTAGTCGGTGGCACACCCCCTTCTCACGAAAACGGTTCCATCCGTAAAACAACTTCTCACCCCCCCGCGTGCCCGCGGCAAAAGGAGTTCAGTTGCCCCGCCTTCAGCTCCTGCCCCGGCCGCAAGCGCACCGCCAGGAACCGCCCCGCCGACACGTCCGCCATGGGATCGGAGCTGATGGCGGAAAGATGGCGGAAAGGTAGCGCGGTGGCGTGGGGTTCCAGCGGAGAACGGCTTCCCCCATGGTTGAAATTCAGGGGTCACTGTTTGTTTTTTTTGTTCTAGGTGTGTGTGTGTGTGTGTTTTGTTATTTTGAAATATGTATATATAAATATATATATATATATATATTCCGGGTTTAGTGCAGGGGCCACTGGATGTCCCCAAATCGAAAAGTGCAGTTGACTCAGCCGCGAACAGTTTCCCATGGTTTAAATTCAGGGGCCACTGGATGTCCCCAAATCGAAAGTTGATTGGTTTGCTGGTGGGTTCCAAGAAAAACAAAGCGTGGAGGTCCGAAAAAAGGGGATTGGGGGATGTGTTGGCCTCGGGTTTTGTTGTGGTTTGGTCCAGGTTGTCTCAAAGCAAAACTCGATCCGGCAATTCTTCAGTTTGTCATGACCTGGGCTTCGGTGTCCCCTGGTTTTCCGAAAACCACTCCCCTATTCGGGTAAGGTCCTAAACAAAGACATCAAGAGTGTTAGCAGAACACGCGGACTTGCCCTTGGTGAATCTCGGGAGAACACCTCAGGGGAAGAGCTGAAGAGGGACTGGGCAACTAAGTTGACGTCCGGAATTTGACTGCCATCCATTTCTGCTTTGATATGTCGTGATCTCCGACATGCTCCGACATGCCCTATCCGCCCAAACTAACTATAGACTAGCAATACCCGCTACACACCGTACCCACTTCATTAAAAGGTATGCTGTCAACGATTTATAGGTAGTTACCCTCAAAATCGTTGAGCGTTCTACAAAAACACTGGCCGAAACAAGATGGTACTTGGAGGGTGCAGTTTGGTCAGCTGCGTCGGAAAAAAACGCGCCGTCGAGCCAGCCAGTCCGGCGCCAATCCGAGAAGAGTGTGCGAGAGCCTCAGAATCTTGGCTGATTTGCCAGGAGGGCAGTTTGTATTTTGTTTTTGTTAAATACACTGGGAGCCCAAGGCCCGAAAAATGAGGGCCTTTGTCCCTAAAAACCTTAAGTCATGAGGTCTTAGGCCCGTGGTTTGTTTGTTTGTTGACTTTTTTAGTGGAAACTACCGCTAAACCCTAAGCACCTGAAAACCTCAGGAACCGGATGGCTTGCACAGCAACCGGGATGAGCCAAAAGAAACTTTGCCTAAGCCTCATCCCAAAATAACCAGCGGCGTGAAATAGCGTGGAAAAAAACTGTGCTGTCCCCCTTCGAGGATCGAATCCAAGCTTGCTGGGACCGGGGGGGAGGTGAGCAAAGGAACGTCCATAGGAGCCCTCCTCTGAAGTCCCCGACTTCCAAAAAGGAGGCCGAAACGGTAAGCTCCTGATTGACCTAGAATAGAACCCATCCGTTTGACCCCCACATGGTGTAGAGGAACCTGCAACAAAAATGGCCCTCCCCCGCTTTTGAGCTTCGATGAGCCGCGGGAATCGATCCACGGCGACCGCTCCTGCTGTCCGGCGCACTGACCTCAAAGCAGAGCGAAGTTGAGGCGAAGGTTTCGTCGGGAGATGTCTGGTGCGGGGGTCCCTAAAGCTTTTCGTTCCTATGACGTCATACCTACCCAACTTTCCCGACTTGTCCATCTAATCGTGGTCACTAGTGGTTTGGTGGTTTGCGTGGCTTGATGGTTTGGTGGTTTGGTGGTTTGGTGGTTTGGTGGCTTTGTGGTGGGTGGGAATTGCAGGTTGCGCCGACTGATACTGCGATCTATGCTTCAACCATGGGACTTTGGAAAAAAGCCGCGGGTCGTTGCCTCATGGCCATCGCCATCGACAGTGACATACCTCTTTATGCAAAAGGCCCTTCTGGCGTGTACATACTCGGCAACCCCGCCATCGATCCGAAACTCCACAGCCTCGCTAATGTACTTCTCGAATGATGTGTGAAGGGTACATTTTTTGTTGCTGTGGAGTGGCGTTTGCGATTCCATCAAAATGATGTTGGGAGTTGCCCCTGAGCCACTGTACCTGACAGCATCACAATGGCTGCTGAACCAGTAGTGCGGGTAGACCATTCCATCAGATGGATGTGAGCAGCTACAAACCGATCGGCCCGAGGGCAAAACCCAAGTGGAAAGCAACAGGACCCAAGACCATTCTTCGACCCGTGCGGTTTTGGCCATGCTTTGAGGTTTTGGCGATCCCCCGCAACTGAAGGGGACCAGAGGGTTCGGGGGGGGTCCCCGAATGAATCATGTAGGTCTTGCGTGCCTCCAGCAAAATGGATGTTGGGCATCCTGTTGTGGGTTCATTTAATAAGAACATGGTAGGACACTGGACATGTTCTCAAATTGGAACCATTTCTCTTGTGTAATAAACTTCATATGGCTATGAATCTATGAATGTTACTTCTAATGTGGCTTATGGTTACATACATTCAACCATGTAGTTATCTCTGATGTCCACCAAAGCGGCTCCTATTGAGCAAAAAGCAAAAGGCACAACCACCCACATCTTGAAAGTCTCTCAAAACAAGATCAGCAAATGTATAGCCCGAATGTCCAGGGAATCAACCAACTGCGTCGTGTCCTCTCAGCTTTCCCAAAAAATCGGGGCGAACACCCCGCCTTTGGACCCTTTAGAGCTGAAACCATTGGAGCATCCTAGGACTTGATCTGGGATGCTCCAAACCAACCGGGTTCCCTGGACTCATCTGGGTCTCAATTTTACTTCGGGCCCTGAACTGGTGGACACCATTTGGGGATCCATGTCCAATCACTCAGGGGTTTACTATGACTATGCATAGCCATACGAAGCCATACCATGCCCTCGCCCAAGCTGGTACTTGAAAGGGAACCGGGTCAGAGTAGATGGCATTTCTTCGATCCCTTTGCGTTGGCAAAAGGAGGATGAAACCAACATGGGGGAATTGTACTATCTACATTCAGTCCTTTGCTGATGGATTCTAGCCCTTAAAGTGGCTGACTTGGGCGGTGTCTTTCGGGTAACCATTTTCAAATGGGTTTTTCAGGGAAGCCCAAAGCACAATTCCAATTCCGTCCAGCACCCGGGTCGCAACAACGGCTTCTTCCCCTGTCCAAAATCCCACGTAGGGTTGAAAGTTGACCAAGCTGGGGGGAATTACGCCCAATCCACCAATTTGTCACAAGTTCGCTACACGGACGCCAGGATTCTACTGTCCAAAAAAGCAACGGTTGGAACCCGGGTGCGGGTTCCGCAAGTTTCCCATGTTTTTTGCTGCTTCCCAGCAGGAAATGAGCAATGGTCTTGAAAATGACCAGGAAAAAAAAGAAAAAATATCCTCAATCCTTGGTTTCCTTGCAGGGAATCTCCAGGCCCGGTTCACTCAACCCTCCAACACCCGCCGGACTCGGTCAGCCGGGTCCCCGAGCCGTCGCCGAGCTCACGGCGCCCTGACGCTTCCGGCGTCCGCTTCGGTGTGGGGCTCGTCGGGGTACCCAATTCTTGGGCGCTCTTGGAAAACATCCGATGCGGGGGCTTCTGTTTCTTCCGCAACCTTAAGAATGGCTGGTGTCCTTTGGTTTCTCTTCCAAACCATCCAACAAGGGGAGCAACTCAAAAAAGGAACCACGCCCCACGTGGCTTGAAGTTTCCCTTTTGTTACCGGTTCGGCTCGATGCGTCCATGGGCCAGAAGGGGGGCTCAAAGTACCTCAACAAATACCCAAACGAGTCTCACAATAGGGACGCGCTCCCCCGCCCCCCCCCCCCCCCAAGAAAAACATGTGTTTGTTCGTCATCAGATCTTACAAATCAGCAAATAGGGGAAGCGTTACACGTTACAGCACATTTGGCCAAAGGCCCACCAAAAACAAGCTGATCTCCAGCTATTCTCTCTCTGGTTTCTTCTTTTATTCAAAACACACACTGTGACACACACACACACACGCACATGGCAGCTCCCCGCAGGTGGGTAGAAGCCAACTTTATCGTGCTGCCTAGGTGCTTCTCATCAGGAGCAACGACGCCCTGTGTTTGATCAGTTCGACCAAGCCAAGTTAAATTGCAGGTGTGGCTCTGTTCCTCGGTGCCATTTCAGCGCAGTCTGAAGAGCCTCTTTGTTAGATGCCCACTCTTCAGATGCGGGGCATCCCATTGCAGATACACTGTGTGCGAGAGCTGAGTAAGCACAGCTCTATCAAGTCAAAATCAGCCCCGGTCGTCGGGTCGGTTGGCACATGGTCCATTCGAGCAAATCATGGTTGGGAAACATTTTACATTGTTGCTTATTGTGGTTTAGTGGGAAATCCCCACTTGGCTGCTAAAGTTTAATTTGTTGCTCCCCTTTCAACGTCAACCGAGAAATCGCCATTGTTTCGGAGGGGCTCTGAAGTCAAACGTCGTTAAACTGTTCCAAGCCGCGAGGCCGGAAGAAAAGAGGGCGCGAGGCGCAGTTTTTTTGGTTGGAGGCAAAAAAGGGTCGCTCAAGTTCACACATTCACAAGATATCATTGGGACACACTGCTTCATGACTTGCTTGTGCAAGTCGCCGCTGTTTGTTAGGGGACTCCTAATCCAATGCTGAGCTTGTGCAAACTTCATGAAACGTCCTGGTCTGGCAAATGGCCTGAGAAAAAAAAAAGTTTGGCACACACACGCACACACACGCACGCACACGCACACGCACACGCACACACGCACACACGCACACACGCACACACGCACACACGCACACACGCACACACGCACACACGCACACACGCACGCACACACACGCACACACGCACACACACACACACACACGCACACACGCACACACGCACACGCACACACGCACACACGCACACACGCACACACGCACACACGCACACACGCACACACGCACACGCACACACGCACACACGCACACACACGCACACACACACACGCACACAACACACGCACACACGCACACACGCACACACACACACACACACACACACACACACACACACACACACACACACACACACACACACACACACACACACACACACACACACACATCTAAGCTTTGATTCCCCGTTCTCTTCACCCATCGTTCTCTTTAGCCCATTTTTTGA